TATTCTTGCTCTGCAACAGTATTTATTCGATTCGATAAAAATGTTTAGCGAAAAGTTATAAAATAGAGAGGTTGGGAGTTTATTAATAAAATTGTCAGATTAGCTTTTTATAAAATTTAATGTTATTATTTTACAATAGAGCATGTAATTATTTTCATAATTGTAAGTAACCTAATTTTAATAGATTTTGATTTAGTAAATTGTAGAAGTAAGTGAAATCAGCCAACCTAGAGGAAGCAAAGTTATTAAATTAGTATGATTTCTAAATTTTAATTTGGAAAAATAAAATTAATAAGGTTTTTCTAACACAAAATAGTTTAACAGTTCTCTTTAATAGTATACCATCTTCATGAGAAAATACCCATCATATATTTTTTAAATATTGTATGTTTCAGCTTTTTATAAAATATTTTTAAGCAATCCAAATGATTTTTCCAATAGGTTAAGAAGCAGTGAGAATTATCTGAATGTGTTTGATTAAATAAGTTACTCATTAGTCAAAAATTAATCTTTATTTCTTAAATTAATATAGAAGTATTATTACTCAATTTATTCCAAACTCTAAAAAGGGTTACCACTTAATTTTTATTACATAATACCATTATTGCTTTTGACATTTTTCTCCTGCTAATTTTATCAATATTGAAACTGTATTGAAGCTGTTGCTAGATGATATAATAGCATCAATTATTTTATTCAGAAGGTATTCTTTCATAAAATAGATTATCTTGACTGATATTAAGTAATATTTAAATGATCTTCCAAAAGTCGAAAAATATTTCAAATTTTAGAACTGCTTATATATCAATAAAAAAATTTTTGGCTTATTTTAATATATAGTAATGTATTTCTAATATGGGCTTTAATATCGATTTTATTTAATTCCAATTAAGTCACGTAGCCAAAGTTTAAATTTGTTTTTGTCCAATTTTTTAGATTTTTAGAATATTTTTTATGATGGCTGTAGGAAATTTTCAAATAGATTTTAGAAAAATTTTAATCAACTATATTAAGTAACCAATAAAATTAATATTAATGATTATAATTTTTGAAAAATTACACACTTATTTTCATTAATTTTGTTATCATAATGGATAATAAATTTGAAACATTTATTTTTATTTGAATAAGTTTTGCATTAGGTGAATCATAATTAAGCAATATATCTGACAATTAATTATCTTATGAGTTTAATCAAAAGCATTCTACGAGATTCAATTTTTCTCTTTATCAAGAGTTTTATATTTTTGCAGAGGTTTTAGCTTTGCTACAAAGAAAAGTAGAGTCTTAGAGAAATTAGATAATAAGCTAAGATAATTTGTAGACAATCACACAGAGATGCTATTAAATTAAAAGAAGCATATAAGGGAACATCTATCATGGCACCAAAGGGATAAGAAAGTGCTAAAACTCTTGATAAAATAAATAATTGAGAGCTGCACCATCGATATTTGGTAAGAGATGGGCAGCTTGTAGAAATTTAATATGAAGTATATTTCGAACAATTCAGAGAAATGGTGAAGAGTCTTGGAGAAATTTTTCAGAAAAGGAAAGGGAATTTATGGTCTGATGAGATATAACAAGTGCGAAACTGATTTGAGATATTCATTTAACATTATTGCAAGCTAAGGTTAGCTCTAAAATGTCTAACCATGAAGTTTAGTTGAATAATAGTTTCAAAAGAGGTAGGTGGTTAAATTTAGCAAAAACTGAACTCAGACTCTTAATCGAAAATTAAATGTTATAGTTAAATAGTTGAATTTTATTCAAAAATAATTTAAGAAGAAATCTTAAAATGTATATAAAATTTTTTATTTTTAAAAGAAGTAATTTATTATTGTGATTACAAAATGTAATAATAGATGGTTCTGGAATACTAAATATTTTGTATATTTTTTTAAAAGATAATTCACCTTATTCTTTAATCTTCTAAACTATCTATATCATTTTCCCAGTGTCCTTCAAATTATTTTCCATCAGCCGATTTATAATAACCTTTTCCACACTGCTTTTAACCATTTACAAAATCTCCGTTATAATAATCTCCATTAGTAAATTTAAATTCACTCTTACCTGTACGTTAATCATTTTCCCAAACTCCTAAATATTAATCTCCATTTTTCCAAATATAAAGACCTTTTCCATGCTTTTCATCATTTACAAAATCTCCTTTATAATAATCTCCATTAGCAAATTTAAATTCACCCTTACCGGTACGTTAATCATTTTCCCAATCTCCTTCATATTCATCTTCATCAGACCATTTAAAAAGACCTTTTCCATGCTTTTAACCATTTACAAAATCTCCGTTATAATAATCTCCATTAGTAAATTTAAATTCACTCTTACCTGTACGTTAATCATTTTCCCAAACTCCTAAATATTAATCTCCATTTTTCCAAATATAAAGACCTTTTCCATGCTTTTCACCATTTAGAAAATCTCCTTTATAATAATCTCCATCAGCAAAATTAAAGGAGCCCTAACCTGTACGTTAATCATTTTGCCAATCACCGTAATATTAATTTCCATTTTACCATATATAAAGACCTTTTCCATGCTTTTCACCATTTAGAAAATCTCCTTTATAATAATCTCCATCAGCAAAATTAAAGGAGCCCTAACCTGTACGTTAATCATTTTGCCAATCACCGTAATATTAATTTCCATTTTACCATATATAAAGACCTTTTCCATGCTTTTCACCATTTAGAAAATCTCCTTTATAATAATCTCCATCAGCAAAATTAAAGGAGCCCTAACCTGTACGTTAATCATTTTGCCAATCACCATAATATTAATTTCCATTTTACCATATATAAAGACCTATTCCATGCTTTTCACCATTTAGAAAATCTCCTTTATAATTATCTCCATCAGCAAAATTAAATGAGCCATTACCTGTGCGTTTATCATTTTCCCAATCTCCGTAATATTAATTTCCATTTTACCATATATAAAGACCTTTTCCATGCTTTTCACCATTTAGAAAATCTCCTTTATAATAATCTCCATCAGCAAAATTAAAGGAGCCCTAACCTGTACGTTAATCATTTTGCCAATCACCATAATATTAATTTCCATTTTACCATATATAAAGACCTATTCCATGCTTTTCACCATTTAGAAAATCTCCTTTATAATTATCTCCATCAGCAAAATTAAATGAGCCATTACCTGTGCGTTTATCATTTTCCCAATCTCCGTAATATTAATTTCCATTTTACCATATATAAAGACCTTTTCCATGCTTTTCACCATTTAGAAAATCTCCTTTATAATAATCTCCATCAGCAAAATTAAAGGAGCCCTAACCTGTACGTTAATCATTTTGCCAATCACCATAATATTAATTTCCATTTTACCATATATAAAGACCTATTCCATGCTTTTCACCATTTAGAAAATCTCCTTTATAATTATCTCCATCAGCAAAATTAAATGAGCCATTACCTGTGCGTTTATCATTTTCCCAATCTCCGTAATATTAATTTCCATTTTACCATATATAAAGACCTTTTCCATGCTTTTCACCATTTAGAAAATCTCCTTTATAATAATCTCCATCAGCAAAATTAAAGGAGCCCTAACCTGTACGTTAATCATTTTGCCAATCACCATAATATTAATTTCCATTTTACCATATATAAAGACCTTTTC